AAATAATTTTTAAAAGTGTTTTTTTTTTTTTTTTTTTTTTTTTTTTTTTTTTTAGAGGTCTTCATTTCTAGTGAGTTTTTCTTAGGGTGTTAAGCCTGGAGAGGAATAATTTTTAATTCTGAATATTTATTAATCCTTTATATTCTATTTTAGGATTCCAGCTACCCATTTGCCAGTAAAGAATCTATTGGTTCAGAACTGGGGAATTCGTTTGCATCGAATATTAGAATTAAAGAAGAACCTTTGGATGATGACTATGACAAAGCAATAGCTCCGCAGCGGGGACTCCTAGACAAAATTAAAGATGAACCTGACAATGCTCAGGTAACGATTTCACCTTTTTCCCCTCCTCTTCTTTTCCTTTCACACATTGAATTATTTACTTGAGAAGCAAAGCGCATAAGAAGTGAAGTACTTTGTTGACAGGATGAAAGACTCTTAAAGGAGATTGAGTCCATTTGAATGATCTTGTTAAGGCATCAGTAAAAGTTACATGAAAAATTCTGAGTAGTAATTAAGGCTTTTATTCATCTTTAGATTTAATACCACTGTGATGAAATGCAGTGCATTTCAGTGCAGGACTTGAGAAAGGACGAGCCTTTATGGAATTTAGATCAGTATAGCAGATACTGCTGAAGGTTTATGAGTTTGGATGTGATTGAGTTCATATAGGATAATAAGCCCTTAGCAGTTACCACTAATGAAGTTTGGATTTAACTAGTTTTCAGGATGGGTTAATAAACAGATAGTCTCTGGAAGGGCAAATTGATTTGAAGATCCACTTTTATAGGATTAGTGGGTAGAAGTTAAAGCTTCGATGAGTGTATGTGTGAATAATAAGGTATTAGAACTCTGCAATTTAAGATTGCTTTTGAGGTTGAAGTCATAGAGATCCTACAACGGTGAAATTCCAACACTGGCTAAGTTATCCATGTAGTTGGCGACATTGCAGTGGTTAGAGTGGAAGAAAGAAGTTATAGCAGATGGTTTAATCGCTATGAAATGTAGGAAGGAGTCCAAGGGATGCATACACAATGGCAGCAGAAGGTTGTCTGTTCAAGGGTGGTTTATATTTTGTACTGATGACATGAATTCAGAGGAGAAATGAAGATAGCATGAATTAGCTATTTCTCTGAAAGGATAGTAGATCCAGAAATCTAATGTAATAGATTCCATTGTTCTTTTATATTAAGGTATACAAGAATATGAGACTTCTGTGAAATGAATTTTCATTCAGGTTCCTTTGAGCAGTATTTCTCTGCCTCTGCACCATTATTTGTGTGTGAGGGACTGTCCTGTTCATTGGAGGACATTTAAAAGCAGCCTCTTTGGCATCTGCCTCATCTAATCAGTTACAGAAATGTCTCCAGATATTGCCAGATGTCCCTTTGGGAGAAAAATTGACTCCTTAGAGTAAGGAAATGTAAAAATAGGTGATCCTAGAGGTAAACAATTCATGAGTCAGACTGACATTCAATAAAGCCAGAGTAACACGGGCCCTAGTGGAAGGCAGATATATTTGTGTAGCGGTGATAATGCTGTAGGAACTGCAGGATGTGTGTTTGATTGCTAAACAGAAGACAACAAAAGAAGGAATCTTAAAATATTTGTATAGAAGGTAGGTTGAAAGAATATTTGTAAGAGCAGATAAAATGGAAATCTTACATATCTCAATCAAGTACAAATAGGCTGAGGGAAAATTCATACGGCATTGTGTACCTCAGAAGACTCCAACTGTGTCCGTATACAGGGCAGCTCTTGTGACTCTTTCCATGCCCCAATGTGGACTTGGGAAATCCATACGAAATCAGTGCTGGCAGTATACCAAAAGCATTTTGCTCTTTTATACGCCATCCAGTGACATTCCTTGGGACAAAAAAGCAGTTATAGTAAAGACCAAATACAATAGAAGAGGGCATTGAGAAATTTACTAGTATTACCGTTTTCCAGACAACCAAGAGGTTCCAGTGACGAGAACATAAATAGGATGGAGTGGGTAGAAACACGTACATCTTTATACACATACTCAAAATTATCTAATGTGATATAAAATGCCAAATACAAAGTTTCATCATAATTATGGGGAAGAACTTTCCCAAAGGCTCACTTGCTTGATGGGTTGAACTGTTGAGATCCAAGCTATAATGTGAGTAGGTCCTAGGCATAAGATCCAGAAGCATTCTTTACACTGATTCCACAATTAGGCAGTCCCAGAATGTGAGTGGATGAAGCTAGTTTTTTGGTTGTTTTTTGTTTGTTTGTTTGTTTGTTTGTTTTTTGAGCAGTCCTCTCTGTTGTCAGCCACACCAGTCCTATAGGATCAGGATAATTCTAGAAATTCTAATTCTGTAGGACCCTTTGATCATTCTAGAAAATAGATCATAAAAACCCCCAAGAGAGCTTTATAGCTTATAAACTGTAGATACTTGGTTCTTCTTTTGCTTTTCTTATCTATTTCCCATTCTCCTTGTCTTCTCTACTTTTCATTCCCATTTCTCCCCTCTTATCCTGACCCCTGTCCTTTCTTTTCTCTTCCATTTTCTTCCCTCCTCTTTCCCCTCCTACTCTCTCCCCTTTTCATTGCCCTGTTCCTTTAGGTATTTCTACCCTGTGGCCATTGGAGATCTGTATCCTTTGCTTTCAGTACTGCATAATACTTTATTGCTTAGACTGGAAGAACGAAGGCCCAATGTATTATTTTCTTAGTTTCAAAAATAGTACTATTTACCTATTTTAAAATACTGATAGATTTGTATAGTTGTAGTCAACATGTACTTTTAAGCATCAATTACCAGTAAGTCTTCATACACTTTAACAAGATCATAACTTTTGTTCTTAGCGTTTTTTCATAACCTTCCTTGGCTTTTCTCTGTGCATGACTTTGTAGTTTTACTTTAGCTTACTTCCTGATTCTCCTTTGTACACAATTCATTTAAGTCTCAATTTCTTTACTTTCTTATTTTAATCACTATAGTACTGAAACTTCTGTATATATATGTAACATCTTCTACCCATTCACTCTTGATTATTTTTTCAGTTATAATTTTTTTTTAGTTTTATCAATTATAGTTCCCCTGCTTCTGTTACTGACATAATATCATTGGCCTCTCTCTCAGTTTCATTTCTTCATTCTAATCCCATTACATGCTAATATAATAGTTTTTGTAATATTTTTATGGTTATAGATACTTTACATATGAATGTGATTTCATTCTACAGTCCTAATAAGATCAGGGTGGAGGATACTAACCACATTTGTAGATGAGAGATGAGAGAGCTGAGGTTTCTAGAGGTTAAGTTAGTTACTCTTGGTTACTTGGTCAGAAAGGAACCAATCTGGTCATAATCAATGTCTTATTTTTTATTAGTTTACCAGTATTTTCTGTAAATCAAAGTTTAATTTTTTAAAAGAATTATTTATTTAAATTTATTTATTGTTATTATTATTTTTTTAATTTGCTATAGGGCACATGTGCTCACCAGAAAGAGACAAGAGAGAAAGAGCAGGAGCATTGAGGAGAGAGGGAGAAAGCAATCCTCTAGCTCTGAGGCTCAAACTGTTGTTGGCCATGTGGAGCCCAGTACCCTAAGCACCACACCACCTGCTGGCCCCAAAAGTTTAATTTTTTTAAATGCCTGGAAAAGTTTAAAATAGAAACTTTAGACCCAGAGACCTCAATTTTTCCCTTTTCCATTTTTATATATGTCACTCAGTAAATATTAAATTAAAATCATGATTTTTTTTTCTTTTCTTCTTGCTCATGGTGATAGAGGGAAAGTTAATCTGTAGTCTCTCATTGAAATAAAAGGGATTAAGGTGGGAAACCAAATAAACTAATTGTCACAATAATGATTCATACAGTCTTAGAAAGTAGAATACAGTATTGGTACCAGCAATTGGCATAATGGCTATGTCCCTGGACTCCTATGTAGTCGACTGTGGCTTGAGTCCCAGACCCGGGGGCTTAAACTCATGCTGGGCACGTGTGTGTACGTGCCCAAGATCCTGAGAGGAGAATGGAGAAGAAGGGATTGCTGTGTGGCCATCTCCGCTGGGGGTAGAGGGGAACGATTTCTTGCTTTTTGTCTCTTCTATCTCTCTCTGTTTTTCTGGTGAGCACACTAGCCCTATAGCAAATCTGCACACACACATACACACACACACCCCACACACACACCAAAAAAAAAAAAAAACAAAAAAAACAAGAATCCTTTCCTTGGGACTAGCTGGTGGTACAGAAGCTAAGGTGCTGGAGTTTCACATATTCAACCATGGTTCAAGTCCCAAACCCAGTTGCTTGAAACTCACACCGGGCACGTGTGCATGCATGCTTAAAATCCCAAGAGGAGAATGGAGGAAAAAGGATTGTGGCATAGACATCCCTGGAAAGTGATGTCTCGCTTTCTGTCTCTCTGGCAAGCCTATGTGCCCTATAGGGATTCTTTTTTCAAAAAAAGAATCCTTTCCTTAGATAATCCTACATGTGGGAATGTGAGTATTCACAAAGTTACTTGTCATTAGCATTACTGATTCTACTAAATGTGTGGACCAACACTAGGTTGTGTTATATATAATAGTACCAGGGCTTTGCAGAGCCATATTGGAGCCTGAGGCAAAAGAAAAAAATTGATAATTGGTAGCACTGATTCTTTTTTTTTTTTTTTCCTTTGGAGAGATTTTCCCTATGGGGTGCATGCGCTCACCAGACATGCAGAGAGAGACATAGAGACAGAAAGCGAGAAATCACCCCCCAGGGGGGATGGTCACGCTGCAATCCCTTCTCCTCCATTCTCCTCTTGGGATCTTGGGCATGCACGCCCACGTGCCCGGTGTGAGTTTTAAGCTACCAGGTCCGGAACGCGAACCGCGGTCGACTACGTGGGAGTCTAGCGACATAGCCAGTATGCTAACTACTGGTTCCAGCACTAATTCTTTATTTAAAGTTTTAGTGTTTTGTTCATCATGGATTGTTCATAAATTTTGAGTTTTAAAAATGCTGCATTAAAATATTATCTTAATTACTGAAGTTTTTGGTACCCTTTTAACTTTGTGCCTTACACAACTGCCTTGTTTACTTCATCTCAGTCACATCCCACTATAATCTAATGTTTTTTAAATAGTTTTAATTGGGGGACCATCAGTTGGCGTAATGACTATGTCGCGGACTACCATGTAGTCGACCGCAGTTCAAGTCCCGGATCTGGTGGCTTAAACTCACTCTGGGCATGTGTGAGTGTGTGCCCAAAACCTTTCGAGGAGAATGGAGAAGGGATTGAGGCGTGGCCATCCCCCCTGGGGGGCGATTTCTCGCTTTCTGTCTCTCTCTGTCTTTCTGGTGAGCACACACGCCCTATAGCAAATAAACAAACAAAAAATTCAATTAGTATTTTTCACACTTGAGGGATATATTGACATCCTCTATTTAAAAAAGGAAGTATGTCTGAGATACTTTAGAATTCTAAGAATAAGTAATTTTGTGTGGTTTCCAGGTTTTAGAATGATAAATGGTTTATTAAAATACAAACTATTATTACTTAATTGTTCCACAATACAGTAATATGTAATTGTGAAAACGAGTGATAGCACTGAGAACTTGTAGTAGAACTGCTATTTATAACTTAAAATATGTTTATGTACACTTAAGATCATTGAAATAAGAACACCATTTTAAAAATATTCTTTAATGATGATCAGACTATGTAGACCTCAAAGTTTCTTTGACTCTTATTTTAGAATCACTGGTATTTAGCCATTAGAAATTATTTTGGAGTAGTATGTAATAATATGTAAACGTTTGGGGCCTGCAGGTGGTGTGATGGTTAAGGGCACTGGACTCCCACGTGGCCAACTTCTGTTCAAGTCCTGGACCTAGTGGCTTGCTTTCTCATTTTCCCTCCCTATCTCTCTGTGTCCCTCTCTGATCAAATTAAAATAAATAAAGTTAAATAAAATAATTATTAAAAAATAATATGCAAACATTTAAATGAGCAAGAATATCAGTTTGTAGTAAAAGAGTATATTTAGAATAATTATTATACAACTATATAAAGAAATAATAACCTCTGATTAGAGAAGTGAGAAAGACTGGAAAGAAGTATACCAGAAGAATAATAGTGGTATTTTGGGATGGTGGAAATACGATTAGAATTTTTTTTATTATTTCTACTTTTCTAAACTTTCTATAGTGGTTGTTTATTTTATTATAAACAGTAACTTAACATATTGTAATATTAAATAATTTTCAAAGATAATTTTAAAATATTTGATAGTACCGTAGGCTGTTTAGATAGCTACTCTCCCTTATAAACACATTATATCCTTATTCTGATTACAATTTTGCTGTCTTATATTTTGTTATTGTAAACATTTTCCACTCTACTAATTATAGTAAAATATCTTGAATATTGTGATTTCTTTGGGCATATATTCTTTTTTCTGTGTATTTATTTATTTTTTTCTTTTTCAAAGGAGTATAGTCATGGCCAACAGCAAAAAACTCAAGAGGGAGAGCTGAAAATTAGTGCTGTGTTTTCAGTCAGTGGCAGTCCTCTTGGTAAGACACAGAACTGAATAAATGGATCATGTTTATTCTGACCAGTATGAATACGAGGAAGGTTCTACTTGTTCTTAATGATAATGAGTTAGACAATTCTTTCTGCCCATTTAGAATGCCTTTAAATTTTATATTGCATACTTATTGTTGGATTTCAAGACTAGCTCTAGAAGAAATAGAATGCATACTTAAAATTCATGATAAAAAGTAAAATTTTTTTCTTTCAATTTTTTTTTAAGCTCCACAGTTGACTACTGGCTTTCAGCCTTCACTGGCATCATCTGGCATGAATAAAATGCTTCCTTCAGTTCCAGCCACAGCTGTTCGAGTTTCCTGTTCTGGTTGTAAAAAAATCCTCCAGAAGGGGCAGACTGCTTATCAGCGGAAAGGGTCTACTCAGCTGTTCTGCTCTACACTGTGCCTCACTGGATATACAGTCCCACCTGCCCGCCCACCGCCTCCCCTCACCAAGAAAACTTGTTCAAGTTGCTCAAAGTATAGCAGAATTCTAAATTATCTTTTTTCGTTTCTTTCTTTTCTTTAACATACTTTCTTCGTTGCCTGTGTATTATGTTTAATTTTCTATGTTTCTTTGTTTTTTTGAGGAATATCACATTTATTGCTGATATGTTGTTGCTTTCATTCTTCCTAGGTGCTAGGTGCACAGCTGTTTTTGATCTTAAAGATGTTGTTTAAAATAATGTGCCTTTTATATACTAAGAAGCAATTTTTAAAACAACCTTTCCACCTCTATTAGTTGAGATACTTTATGGTAGATAAAGTACACATTTACATTTACTGTGGTATTTTATCTCGTAACTATAGGCAATATATATTTAAATTCAGCTAATCTTTAAAGTTATATTTTTTGTTCTATAATTGGAATTTATTTTTTATTTTTTCTTTAAGTGATTTCAACATATGTATTTTTATCTTAATATCTTTGAACCACCTCAGGGGACTTGTAATATTTAATAACAAAAAAGGGTATAACCTTAATATACTCATACATGTAGTTGAGGAATATAAACTAATTTGGAATAATTTTGCAAGGCGATTACTGGAAATTATTTAACTGGGTAATAGAAAAAGAGGAATAATGATCTTATTTTTCTTTTTTCTTTTTTTAGTTGTTTGCCATAGGGTGCATATGTGTACCAGAGAGGGACAGTGAGAAGAGACAGTGATAGGAAAAGTAATTGCTCAGCCCCCTGGGTGGATGGCTGCACCACAATCCCTTCTCCTCCATTCTCCTCTTGGAATTTTAGGCATGCATACACATGTACCTGGCATGATGTTTTAAGTCGCTGGGTCCAGTTCTCGAACTGTCTTCAGCCACATGGGAGTCCAGTTCTTTAAACACTATGCCAGCTGATGGCCCCAGTGCTCTTAAACACATTAGCTTTTCTTTGTTATGAGGATACCGAAGTCATTATATGTTAGTTCATGTACTAGCATTTATACTTCCACACATGATGCTACACTTTGGATAGGAAAAATGATATTCACACTTCTGGTTCAGTTGTAGAAAAGATTTGTAAAAGAAGTTTGAACATGGCTAGAAGTTTTGAACATGGCTAGAAGTTATTCTGGAAGTTAATTAGATGCACATTTATTTGTGGGGGGAGTTTTTTGATATAGGGCGCATACGCTCGCCAGAAAGACAGAGAGAGACAGAGAGATAGAAAGTGAGAAATCACCCTCCAGGGGGGCGGCCATACTGCAATCCCTTCTCCTCCATTCTCCTCTTGGGATCTTGGGCACACACATATACACACGCCCTTCCCCGTTCTCTTCTAGTGACCCTGAGTATGCATGCACACGTGCCTGGTGTGAATTTTAAGCCACTGGGTCTAAGACTCAAACCACAGTTGACTAGATGGGAGTCTAGCAACCAGCCATCTGCTGGTCCCTAGCCTGTTATTTCTTTTCTTTTTTCTTTTTTTTTTTTTTT